TTGGATTCAGTGACTGTACTTTTCTTTCGCGTTTTCAATGCTTGCGCAGCCCCAACTTGCTGCCAAGATTACAGGGATGCTTGTGGAAATGGACAAGTCGGAGCTGCTTCTTTTGCTGAAATCACCACAACACTTAACTGCTAGAGTCGACGAAGCGTTAGAGGTTCTCAGGTCATCAAAGAAAAATGTGGCCGTTCCAAAAACTGTTAACCCTGATCAGCGTTTCGGTTAAGTGAATGAAGAAAAACAGAAAACTAGTTCCATCGGTTTCTACTCACTCTTGAAGGATTTTGTTTTTTCTTTGCTTCAGATTCTTGGATTGGTCAGTTTGCTTTATATTTTCTTATCCGCGCAATCCATTTTCCTAAAACATTTTCATGACTGGGTTTTTCGTAGGAAGTTTGAAACATTTTGAATAGAATGCTTGCTTCTCTTATAATGCAAAGACATATTATTACACACTAGAACAAGACCTTCTTGAATGAAACATCCTTTCTTCCTCTGGTGTTACCGTCAAAGAGTGTCTTCCGAAACACCTTTCGTCTGATTTTGTTGATTTTCCTTTCTCATGTCCTTCGACCCATCTCTTCAGCTTCTTCATCAGCCTCTTTCTCCTCGAAGTTTCATGATGATGATTCTCTTCATGATGTTCATCAGCTACTGTCAATGCCAAACCATCCGTTTGATCCTCCAAACCCAAGTCTCCGTTTCGAGAAAATACCATTTCCCCATAATTCGTTCCATTTCTCATCACCTCATGCCTCAAACAAGCATTGCTCCATCTTAGGTTAATAACTTCCTTCACTCCATTTGCATAATCCTTCTTCATATCCTCGTACTCCTGTAATAACCTTCTGTATTCTTCAACACTCACCATCTTCACAAAAGCAAATCAAACAAGTTAATAAACACACAAACTGAACCGAATCATTGGACTACGGGAGGAAAACAATACTTACCTCTGATTTTGAATTTGAAGATACTTCTTCCTTTTCCTCTTGTAACACATCAACCCTAGCTTTCAAATCTTTGACTTCACCTTCAAGTTCCTTCACAACGTTATTCTTCGTCTCCAATTCACCGAGACATCTCAAGAACTCCTTTTCCATGCCAACAATCCTCCTGCTCTTCTCGTTTAAAACGCGGTATAACTGCTTTCCTCTTCTCATAAGCTTCTTTGCTTTTCCCTCAAGCAACCTATTCTCTGATCTCAACCCTTTGATTTCTCCCACGATTTTGAGATACACCATCAACAAATCTTGACCTCTCTTTTGTTCTTCCTCCATCGCCGAAACTTCTCTACGGAAGAAATCTAATTGAGATTTCTCGAGACTCAACATGCTTTTATGCTCCATTAGCATGACTTCTTGATCTTTCAAGTTACAATATCGCTCGAAACGCAACTCCATCTCGCATTCCTTCCTCTGAAGCTCCTCGAATCTGGATTTTAAGCTGAGAATCTCTCGCTTCTGATGATCTAGACTCTCTGT